ACTTTTTTTTGGCTGCAAGTGGGTATAATGTGCCAAATAACCACCTATGAAATCAAATTGTCTATGTTCCTGAAAATGATCCATTTACAGCACTGAAGTATGTATGGAAGGCTACGTCATTGTATAACCTGCACAGAGGCAAGATGGTGAAGGGCTTTCCATTTTCCTGTGCAGTGTAACACTGTCCACTGTAGATAACTAGATGCTGATGTATTCGGGATTGTGTTAGAACAAGATTGTGGAAATTTGAGCAGTTTTTCAACTCAGCCACCCACTACTCTCAAATAGGTTCCAGAGTGGATTATTTTCTAAGAACATCATATGGATGCATTTTGATTTATAGTACAGCAGTGCCTGAGAGAGGGAAGTTGTACATTTTAATACTTTATTTGTTGGATGAATTGATAAAATTGTGAAGTGTCCATTAAATACTGGCAGCTATTTTCAACATTCATTAAGATTTCTATTTAGCATAACATTTGTGGAGTTTTATGATTCCAGATGAAACGGACAAAATAGTTAGGGATCAATAATTCTTCTTGTTTAAAGTAGTCAAGGTTTATGTTCTATGTTTGACAATACAGTTACTTACTAAGAGAATAAAGCTACAAACTAAACTTTACAAAGTTAAGTTAAAAATCCTAAAGCAATTCAGAACAGATAGAATTAACAGAAGTTGGATGAATGTTAGAGCATGAAGTAGTGATGGATTCACAATCGAACAACCCTTGAAGCACATCAAATAGCACATGTTGCCATAGAGTCATCAAGTTGCACAGCACAGAAACAGACCCTTCGGTCCAACTCATCCGTGCTGACCAGATAGCCTAAACTAATCTAGGTCCATTTGGCCCGTATCCCTCTGAACCCTTCCTATTCATATATCCCTCCAGATGCCTTTTAAATGTTGTAAATGTACCAGCTTCCATTGCTTCCTCTGGCAGCTCGTACCATACACGCACTACCCTCTAAGACTAGACAGGTCAAGACAGATCTCTTGGATTTCTCAGCCACCCGATTGATGGTGACACTGTGGGTCACCAAATTGCCTTAAAACTTTACGTCTTTCACATAGGATTCCAATTCCTTACTTTCAAAGACCTAGCTTAGAATTTCTTCCAAAAATATTTTGTTGTGCAATCTCTTCCTATGATACTCTATTACACTGGATTCCAGAGGTTCCACTCTAACACTTACAGTACAATTACACCTCTTTCAAAGACAGCTTCGTTCACTGCTGCTGAGTTTCTTTGAGTTCCTGTATTTTTTCCGGGTTCCCTTCATACCAAGTCTCATCTCCCAAATAGCTTCTGTGACTTCAGTGAGCCAACATCTCCTCAGAGTCATCTGCAGCACATTAGCTGAATGGAGATACCTTCTTTGGCTGCTCCTGTCTTTCCAGTCATAATCATAAACCTTGTACTCCCTCTTAGTTCCTCAGGATTTCACCTGAGCCCTGGCTTCCTGGAACATGCTGACTGCAGTGTCACATGAAGACTCTTTTCATTGTGTCCATCATTGTCTAGTCACCTAGTTTACCTTTTCTAAGCACCATGCCTCATGGGTCTGGTTTTTCCATCACCACCACCAACAAGTGGACTCTGCTTGCAGCCGTCTGAAAAAAAGAAAGAGGAGTGCTGGGCTGACCATACGTGACCTGTCCCAATCTGTGAATGTGTACCATAACTCCGAACTATGCTGGGAGTTGGAGTTCATGCACTCCACGGTTATACTTCGGAACCACTCATATGGGAGCTTGAAACCAAGGTAAGTCATCTTTGTTAGAGAAGCGAGCAAATACCATTGACTGACAGAATTGAGCCCTTGTTCAACATCAGTGTGCTATTAAATAATGACAGGCCAAAGGGATACATAATAGGAAATGTATAGAAAAGATGTGTGAATGCATAATCATGCATTGTTCATTTCTAAATAAAATTAAAAAGGTGGAAAGA